CCCCAAAACCCCAAAACCCCAAAACCCCAAAACCCCGATTCAATAAGATTTTATTGAATTATTCCATCTTGAAAATTACATTTGAGATACTTCGACCCTCATGGATATATTGACTACTTATCCTCTTCCTTTTGATTTGAGTTGTTTCAATAACTTGATTTGGCACAGGAGTTGTTCTTTGAGAGCTTGGGCTTCTTTTGCAGACCTTTCTGAGTAGCTTTATACCATCACCAATAAGTCAGATAAAGGTTATAATTCCAACGATAATGCTATTGGAAAGCATTGTATAGAGAGTTGCTGTAATAACAGAATCACTCCAATCTTCTTCTACAAGAATAAGTAGTCCTCAAAGATATCCAGTGAAGTACAGCTCATTAAGAACTTCTATTAGATTTGCTCTAGAGAGTCAATATGGCCTAATAGCACTCAAGAAAGCTAAATATACCACTTGAATACCCAGGATTATTCCTATCAGAACAAAATAGGATCTGTCTTGCAAAAAGGCTAGTATCAATGCAAAAAGTATTCTTCTGGTAACCCATGCCGATGGGAAGAAGCTTCTCAGTCTGGTGATTTTCAAACCTGTGTAGAGCTCATCTACCTTGCTAGTTTGCTTTTCCTCGTCATTCTGATCCATATTTCCTTTCTTTATTGCATGTAACCATCAAAAGAGCAAGAAGAAGCATCAGCAGACTACAAATATTCCTGAAATTATTAAGGAAGTTCTTTTGTTCCAATCATCAATTCCAAATCTGTACAGTTCAAAACATGATATCAATGCCAGCATCAGGTAGCTTTCAATAATCACTCTGATGTAGAAATTACCCTCACTCATAAACCTTCTCCACCCACCTACACTTTCCTTCACTCCCTCCACACAGCCCCCAACAGAGCCACCCTCAAAAATTCAAAACAGTCACCACCCCCAAAACCACTAAAACTCCAAAATGATTCCTAAAGGCACTGGCAGAGTCATAGCCTAGAGTCTGAAGTCTGCTGTCTGGCTCGCCTACTTCAAACCACTCTTCAGCTGTGTTAAGGATTTGGAGGTTCAAGGATTTGGCTTGGAAGAAAGAGAAACCAGAAGAAGTCAAGTATTCGACAACCTCACTTGGTACATAAGCCTTCATGAAAATGAGCAGCGTGAGAATCTGGAGATGATTGATGATCACCCACACAAGCACTGGAGAGTTCACTGAGACTGCAGAAGAAATAGCTACCAAGGCTACAGAAGTAGCCTGTATCGTAGTAGCAGCAGTAGCAACTGCTTGGGCTTCATTTAGATCAACCTCTGTGCATGCATCTCCTTCATAGTATATTTTGCATTCTTCTCACTTGGAAGTGTCAGTGGCAGAGCATTTCTTACAGTTCTGAACATTTCATTTTTGAATTGAAAAATAGAGGAATTTCTTCTGAGACGTTGTCATACCAGAGGCAAGAGTGTCAATTGCAACAGAATAGTTTGCATCATCACTAGCTGGAGAGTTAAAAGTGATGGTGCTGGCTGAGGAATCAAAGGTGATCCAGCTTGGATAGGGATAAGGAGAGTTGTTTACCATGTTATTTGAGATAACAGAACTTGAATCTCAAGCTCTCGTAAGGTTCAGCTTTATTTCTCCTTTAGTATTCTCGGTCAAAGTAAACATTTCAGTATCGAAATTATAGTAAATTTTCCTTGAAAATACAATGCCGGGAGTGAAGTCTCTCGCAAAATCTAATGAAGTAATAGCTGTTTCAAGATTTAAAGTAGGCCCATAGGAGTCTAAAGTTCTGGGAGGACCAGTTTCAATCTGATAAGTTGTATCACTTGGACCAAGTTTTGTATAAAGAGTAGTACTGTATTGGATAAAATCTCCACTGTATTGGAGAGTATCATAACTTGAATAAAGAAGATAAGAATTCACAGTGTTTAATTGCCCAGCTAGAATCATTCTATCAAGGCCGTTGGCTGCCCTAAATTCAAGTTAATATACAATTCTATAACATATAGAAATGAGAAAAAACACATGAAGCAGTGTCTGGAACCAGGCATGATTCCTATCTTTTTGAAGAGAATTTCAAAACAAAAGTCATGGATCAACAAAAATTGGAAGGGAAACTTACTTTTGCATGTTTATCTCATAATGCACAAGACCTGACAAAGTGCTGTGCTTCACTGAAGTCATTGCATGGTTCATATAATCATATTTACAGATAATAGATCCATTGCTGCATATAGCCCGAATATAAACATAGCCTTCATATTCAAAAATACCACATCAGTACTGACAGCTCTCGAACAAGATAGGAGTAGATCCACTCTTAGAAAGTCCATTTTGGTCATCAATTTCAAAAATTCCAAACTTATTCGTGGACTTAAAGACCATTGTGAATACAATAAGATTCTCTGGAGGTATATGAATAGACACTGGTCTAAAATTTGGGCAATTTGTATCTGGGCATTCCATTTTAGTCTCCCTGATCATACTAGCTGTGTCAAAATCTATCACCTTAAAGAAAATAACTGATGCAAGTTTTCCATTTGATCCTGTCAGGAACACTTGAGGATCATTCAAAGGAGTCATCCCAAATGAATGTCTTGTGATATCTGAAGTTGTCAGTCAAGTAGCTCCATAATCTGCTAAGTTTATTTTTCAAACCCTTGATCTTAAGGTATCATCACTTGCACAATTTTGAAATAAATATCTATTTTTACTCAAGAATTCTTACTTTTGATTTGCTGTCGTCTGGATTGAAATACTATTTAAGCCAGAGAATATCTTGCACATACCGTTACTGACGGTCTCAATGACAGTTCCATCAGAGCAAGCTATTTTCGTTATCATACTATCTCCTGGAGGTTCAATATATACTCCGACGATCCAGCTCTCATCATCTGTAAGAGCTGCTTCAAATTTCTGAAACTTTGCTGGATACACTTTACTCCAACCCAAACTCCCTATAATCTTGATTCAAAAGGTTCAATAAAGTATGGAAAATCAATATAAGCATTCTGTGCCTTAGATTAGGTATAAAATTATAACTGCATAGGCTCAGTTATGATTAGAATTAATTTTTTGTCATAAAAGAAACAATATACTTAGCTATTTGATCCTTAAAACATTTAAGTGCCTTTCAAACTTACAGTTTAAATCCTGCCCTGATTTCTTCATCAACGTTGATCTTATCGTCCCATTCACAAACTCAACTACCCCATGGATGTATTCATTCTCTTGAGTTACAAATACATTTAAAATATAATACCGACTCACATCTAAATCTCACTCAAAAAGTCTCACCTAAACTTGTATATACCTCTTTGGTCGCTATGGCACTACTACTGCATTCCAAATCCTGACCAAAGCATTGTATTGCCAAGACCAAAAGACCCAATAACCACATTTTATAATAAAAATATTTCAACACAAATAATACCTCTGGGGTTTTGGGGTTTTGGGGTTTTGGGGTTTTGGGG